ATCTCTCTCTCTCTCTCTCTCTCTCTCTCTCTCTCTCTCTCTCGAGGACATCCTATACTCTTCCGCCTTCTTTCTCCCCTTGCTCTCTATCCCTATATCTTTATTCGATCCCTGATTCTTGTTAGATATCGAAAATTGAAAACTCTTCGATAATTACATTCGATAGTTACTTGATAAATAAATGATCAGAACTTCTATCATTCTTGTCAATTTTAATAAAAAAAATATACATATTATATAAATATATTTAAAAATAAAATATAAGATTGGAACTTAAATTTGGCTAAAATGAGATATTTAATCATGAAGAATAAGAAATACAATTTTGCAAAAGAAAGCCGCTAATGTTGACCACTTTATGAAACCAAAAGATGATCGATGACGAAGCTTAGCTTCTGTGTTGCGCAGGTCGAGAACGTGAGTTTGTGCGTGGGAGCACTGCGGGCTCTAGGAGCGGACGTAGGTGCTGTAAACCCGGGCGAATTGGCGGCAGGATCAACCCTGTGGCCGGTCTTGGCTTTGCTCTTCGCTCTGTCACGTTACAAGCAGCGAGCCAAGCAGCTGCAGGACATGCCAAGGTAAGTGAGTCATTCCTTTCGACAAGAAAGTCTATGACCATAATGATCATAATGATGACGATGATAGCATTACATTAAAAATATATACTTAGAAAAATGTTTAAATTGTTGAAATTGGTTTAGGATATTAGAATAGAGAAAAGAATTTTTAAATTTCAGATTTTTGAATTTACAAAATCCTAATCTTTTTTCAATCCTGAATCTTCAAATTTTTTGAGTATTTTTAAAATTATAAATTTTGAAAGTTCTAAAAGTCTTACTTTTATTTTATATTTTATGTCGAATTTAATAAAACACTTTAATAGAACACATTCTTGAATTTTTGTTTTATAGAATTTTTTCTAAATCATACAATTTCTTTTATGTGTTTGAAAACTTTGAATAATTAAAATTTTAATTTAATTTTTTTTTGTTTTCAAAATTTCTAACTTTTTTTATCATACCGTTAACGGGTAACTCATAGACTGTACCGACTCTTCAGCTTTCACAAGCTGACCATCAGTTTGCTGTACAGCCCAATGTCGGTAAAATGGTGGTGCAGAAATCCATGGATACTTTCAGTAGATATATAAGATCTCCTATAATAGTCGATGGTATATGTCTACCATATTTTGATAACTTGAATTCATACTTTTATCAGTAACCAAGGTATTATCGATATTCAAATCAATAACCAACTTCATTCTCAGCTAAACATTATTTATATAACGTTTCTATTAATATAATTGATGCTTCATTGATAAAAGTTTATTGAATATTTTAAATATCAATTTAATCGATTCTTCATATCAATCAACTTTTATGAACCGACAGAGATATATTATGTAAATGAACGCTAACGTTTTAGCGAAATAGAATTAAAGATTTTTTGTTAAACGTGATCGAGCTTATAAATTAAAATTTGCCAGTCTGAAATTCATCATTGTTTGAAAATTTTCGTCTGTAAGTAAATTATTATAATTCGATAAGATGGTAAGCCAAATCAGATTAGAATGTGTTGTTAATAAAATCATTAATATCTCACTATATTTTATATATGTTTTTTTAAGAATAGCTATAAAATTATTGTAATTAACATTGAAATGTTTGTATATTATCTTATGAGCAGCTTATTCGTTGCGTCTTAATAATAATCTAAATATCTGTGTATCTAAATATCTTGTGTATAGATAGATGTAATATTCAACATTATGAATCTTAAATTAAATTACATTTTAATTTAAATTACATTTTAATTAGAATTTATTAAAAGATAAAATATTGAACATTTTAATTTTTTTATGATATTGAAAAATATATTTATGTATATGTTTCTTGATTATTCTTTTTATTTTAATTCTTAATATTTTTATGAATAGATTATAAATGTATATTGTTTTCTATTTCTGAACAATTTTAGGACTTTATTTTTATTTTGACAGTTTTTTTCTTTTCTAATTCTCTTTGCAAATTCTTCATATATACTGCCATCGAGAATTAACTTATCTTGTCAGGAAAATCGAGAATTATCTTATCTCTCTCAGGAAAATCTTTTTCTTTTTCTTTTCTTCTTTCGTATGATTTGATACAAGTTTCGTTCGGTGTGTCATTTTTATCTTGCAGTGACTTGAGATCTATGTCGAGAGCTTTGTTTCCTGTCGCGCAGTTGAATCGATACCGACATACTGTGAAACGGCGGCCGAGCAACGGCGTTCATTAACGTCTCCGTTAATCAACCGGCTATATTTCTCTCTTTCTCTCTCTTTCTCTCTTTCTCGTCTGCTTCTACGCGTTATCGACATTGAGTAAAAACGCATACAGTTATACCAATGTTTCGACACGCAGAAAATGCATTTCACGACCGACAGCGAGGCAACTTCAAATATTTTAATTACCTTGCGGTTAATTGCAGCAGTCGAGAAGAGAGAAAGACGAAAATATATGCGCGAGAGAAAGGGTAAAAGACGGGGGGAGAGGGAAGGGAACGATATTCATTATATCTCTGAAAAATTTTTTAAAGCAAATTAATTTTTAATAGAATTACAAAATAAAGTATTTAATTAAATAAAAGTATAACAATAAAATACAGGATAATGCATAAAATCGATATAAAATCATAAAATAGTCAGTAAAAAATAAAATAAAATCAGTAAAATATTAATAAATTTATTTGATTGTAGTAATCAATTAAAACATATGTGTATGACAAAAAAAGTGGCATGTTAAAAGTTAAGTTAGAAATGATTGACTTCACATTCTTATTAATTATACCCCGACCGATATGTCAATATCGAGATGCTGCGCTTGTCAAGATTGATATTTTTAAATTTTATATAATATTTTGTACCATACAATATAATGTTTTGAGAAGTAATATATATATATATATAAAATAAGAATCTTTAAATTTCTGCTCGATTTTCATTCTGATCTATAAAAATCAAGTTAGGGGATGTTTGCGTTTAGACCAGAAAATTCTCGGCCTGCGCGAGTCGAGATAACGAAAACGTTGAGAGAAATCTCTCTCAAGCAACAGGATCATTCGAGCTTGGATCTAATGGAGCGCGTAACGATTCTTCGGGCGGGAGAAACGCGATGTCGGGGCCCTCGGGCAGGCCGCGCGTGCATTAACATATTAACAATGCTCCATTATGCCCCGAGTGTATACCTAGTTCCCCGCGTGGGCGCGTTATGAACCACTCTCGAGACCACGGGACGCACATTCAGAGTCTCGGAACGTGTACGAGAGTGTCCCAAACTCGTTCTAAATTGAAAACACTTTAGCAAATTTTCTATCATTTTTCACTGGAAAAAATTTTTTTAGCAGAGAGAAAGATTTTTTCATACATACTTATAACTTTTTTTGATACATTAATTGCAATAAAATTCGACTTATTAAATAACAAATTAAATACCTTGTTGTAACGTAATTGTGTAAACAAAATTGTGTACAAAATTTATTATAATCTATTGGAATAAACAATTTTTCTTAAAATTAATTGGAGAACAAAGCCTCCTTGTCAACCCTGATTATAATCTTAATGCACAATTCGTCGAAAGATTTCTTCAGCCATTTATCAATAAAAGTATCAATGGCTCTTTATTGAATCAAAACTAAAACTACTTTAGTTTTTCCTTTCTCTCTTAAAGGAAAAATTTTTTATATAATTTGATAAAAAATCTTTAGCTAAAATTTACTATTTAAATTTCAATTTAGAAATTTGATATAAAAAAATGGGAATAAGCAAAGGTAAAGACGGACGGGGGTCAAGGCTAACAAAAAATTTTTCACACACGTGTACATATCTCGTTAGAGTGTACGCACAATACATCCGTGACACACGCTCACGCGTGCACGTGCACATCGGGCGCGGAATATTAGCATAAAAATGGTTTAAAAATCCGTCGAGCGTGCCGTCGGCGTTTGGCCGGCTCCCGGGGAAGGCTGGATCCGCCATTGGCTGGCTGGCAGTGTATCGCGGAGAGAAGGAGGGTCAAAGAGAACGGGTCCAGAGAAGCTGCGAAAGCTAAAACGAGCGAAACGAGAGGAACCAAGAGCGATGAAGATAGAAAGGGGGATCGTAAGAGGAAAAGAGAGAAAGATTAATGAGGAACAAGAACAACTCTTGCGGGGGTGTATCGGAAGAAAACAGAAAGAGATAGCATAAGAGGGAAATAGAGACGGAAAGAGAAGTAGGGATATAAGAGGGTGTGAGAAGGCTGTATTCAGACAAAGAAACCCAACAGCGCCGAGGTATTACAGGGAGAGTGAGAGCGAGAGAGAAAGAAACCTAGACGTTCAGCTAGACGTCAGAAAAGTGCGAGAGAGAGAGAGAGAGAGAGAGAGAGAGAGAGAGAGAGAGAGAGAGAGAGAGAGAGAGAGAGAGAGAGAGAGAGAGTAGAGAGAGAGAGAGAGAGAGAGAGAGAGAGAGAGAGAGAG